CCGTCACAGCGTAATTCCTCTTACGCCATTAGTTGTACTAGGACCGGGCGTTACACTAGCTAGTTGGTACTATTAATTAGGCACGCAGTTGTGTTTTTTGAAAATAATTGAATTAGCGTAAAATTAAAGAGTTTTTTGAGATCTTATTCACAATTAGTTTTTGAAATTTTCATCTTTCCTAATGTAACATAGACATTAAAAAAAAAAAAACAACTACTTCCTTCGTTTTTTTAATTGATGCATCACTTTATATACCCTGGCCTCCGTATTTTATTACTTGCTCTATTTCTCCGGACAAGAAGTTTTAAGAGGAATTGTAGAAAAAATTATATCATGACGGCCTAGAAGTGGGGTTGGTTGAAAAGTAAAAAAAAATCTAAAAAAGCTAAAGTGACTATAAGCGGGGTGAAGAGAGGATATGAAATATGATATAAGGGGATCACTAGTGGGGAGGAAAATAGTTAAATATTGTTAAAAGTTTCCAAAAAAAGGAAATGGAACAAGTAATAAATTCCGACTGCATAAGGAAAGTGGAGCAAATAATAATATACGAATGGAGTAAAATGAAAGTTCCAAATTAGATGACCGCTTTCCTTTTTAGCTAATAAATTATCTTTATCTCTCTTATATCATATGGGATTACTTTATTTTTTCTCTCTATCTCTCTCTATTCTAAAAATTGCTTAAGAGCTCGTGACATCAAAAGTGATTCATAAGAAAAAAAGGGAAAAAGTATAAGATTAGTAGTAAAAAAAAAAAATAATAAAAAAAAAAAACCTATGGATCGAAATACTCCCTCTGTTTTTTTAATGCCCCATCGAGGTGTGCACGGAGTTTTAGGCAAAAAAAGTAAATAATACTTCCACTACTGCACAAATATTGCAACAAGGATGAAATTACGCATCCCAAAGCACATTTTATTTGTTAAATATCCATAATTATATATGAGTAAAAATTATAAAAAGTTGATATTGTGAAAGTATTTTGCGAGACAAATCTAACAAGACTCCACATGACTATATTTTACTTTACGTATAAATCATAATATGTGGTCATACAAGCGTGATAAATAGTGCAAAAGTCTAGTTGGTGTAATATTACCAGAACGGAGGAAGTATATATATAAGTGGGTATGATTAGTAATAAAAAATTTAGAAAAGTAAGAGAGAGAAATATAAATAGGGGATCATTAGGCATAGTTTGGGAGAGGGAAATATTATAAAATGATGGTGGGGTCTAAAGAAAGAGAAAAAAAATAGTAATATATAATGTGAGTAGGTTTCCAATCAAATTTGATAATGGGACACTTAAAAAAAAACACGGTCGTTTTTGGAAAGTGGTGCACTTAAAAAAATTGGAGGAAGTATTATTGTTGGAAAGGTATTGTACTATTGATAAACACCATTTAGACTGATGGAAAATTCTTCAATTTAATCTTGTTTTTTAATTGAAATATAAAATTGTAGAAATATGTGGAAATGTGGAAAATAATGAAAAATCTAAAATGATTACTAGTTTCAATAAAATTACTCAACAAATCAACTAAGGGTGTGTTCTTTTTATCTTATTAAACAAGAATTTGTCTAAACTGAACTGAATTTAACTTAACTTATCCAATCAAATTATTGAAAAATTTGTCAATTACTACCCTTAGGTTAAAAATTCAATTTTTTTTTTCACAGGTAGCAATTGGCAAGACACCTATTTTTGGCCTAATTTAATAATTGACAAAGACCTCACTCCATATTGAACTTATTGGAACTGATTGAAACTTCTTCTTCTTCTTCTTCTTCTTCTTCTTCTTATTATTATTATTATTATTATTATTATTATTATTATTATTATTATTATTATTATTATTATTATTATTATTATTATTATTATATTATTATTATTATTATTATTATTATTATTATTATTATTATTATTATTTTCAAACCAATAATTTAGGCAAAATCTTTTGTGTACACCCAATTTACAATAAAATTTTGCGGCGGGTTAAATGAGTTCAGGTTAAAAAATTGTTCAAAACCTACAAAAAACCGGTCGGGTCAGGTAAAAACTGATCGAACCTGAAACTTTGGGTTAGGGTTGAGCATATCTTGACCTGTGACCCGAAACTTTGGGTTAGGGTTGATTATATCTTGACCCATGACCCGACCCAAAATGACTCGTGACCTGACACAAACTCGACCTGACCGATTCGATTTACAAGTCTAATTTCAGCCAAAAAAGGAGTTTATTTACAGATCTTTTGGGTACATACACCAAGTTTTCTCCCAGTATAAGTAGCTCCTTTTAGAGATGGAAATGAATCGAATTCGGATCGGGTGGAGCTTCACCCGCATCCATCCGTTATTCCAATCGCTCCATCCACATCTATCCATCACCCACATCACAGATCATAATATATATCCGTCGTCCATCATCCGCGGATGAAACCGGTGGAGCGAAAGACTAATGGATGTGTATTTAAAGTGAAAAAAAAATCCACATAAACTCTAATTTTTGGTTATTTATACAATTATTTTTTTATTTTATTAATAAAAAAGGAAACTATAACAACATATTGTTTGAAAAAATTAATTTGCAAGAAAAAAAAAGAAGTAATTTTCTTGCGCATTTTATATTTTATTATTAAATTTCTTAGATAAAAAATTTAATATATTAGTATTATCCACATCCGATTCGATCTATCACCCGCAGCTTTTCATCTATTTTTACAGGTGTTCGTCCATTTATTTAAAGCGGGTGAAACGGATTAACGGATATCCATTTAATATTACAATGTGCCATCCCTGGCTCCTTGAAAAACTTACAATTGAGACTTGTATAGTTGTATGACTTGTGAAATAGAAATTAAAGAAATAAAAAATAGATGAAAATTGGAAAACTGAGAATTAATTAAAGTTAGGAAAATTAGAGTTTTGGACAATGAAGTAGCTAGGTCTATAAGGAATCAAATCAATCAATAAGACGAATACTCTTTTTTTTTTTTTAATCTAGTTTTAATAATTTGATGGAGGAGATTGGGGATGCTAATTTTATTTCGTTTTCTAACTTGTACTGTTATTGGCCTTAAAACCTCTTTTGTATGTACTAATTATTGATCGATTCACACTTATTTTATGCTAAACAATAATCTTATCATCATTCATGAAATAAAATTAACATAGTGACCAAAAAAATAAACAATAATCAATGACATTGTAAACTTGTAATTTGCTTTACAATTTATAACATACATAATGTTGAATGAAAATAAGAAACAAGAAGTTGTTTCAGAGGGTGTGTGAACTCAAGAGTTGGTCGAAAAATAAGAAACAAGAAACACGTAAACACTAAACAGCTAGTATTACATGTATGAAAAATAAAATGAAAATATCAAATATAAATTTAACAGTAAAAAAAAATAATTATGGTCGTCCACCTGGATAAAGTGCAGGATCATAATATCCAGGACCATATGGATCTACTACTACTGGGGCTACTGCTGGTTGTTGATTTATAATTATTACTGGTGGTGGTGAATAATCCCTCTGCTGGCAAGCTCGACCACCAAATATATCATTAAACGCGCAGCTAATACCATCGGCTAAGCCGCCGGCGAAGGCCGTGACAAGCATTGGCTGCATTATTACCATGGCTATCAATACCACCACCATACACTTTGTGACTTTGACTCATTTTCTTATTGTTGTTGTTATATGGGAGATTGATGGAGTTTGATTGGATGAAGTTAATTAGTGGTTCGAATTGGATCAACCATTTATAATAAAGCCAGATAGTGTAGAATATATAATTTAGTTATATATAATCAAACAGACGTGGTTTCCACATCCATTTCATCATAATTAAATTAGACAGACGTGCAGTGGCTTTTCCTCCATCATAATAATGCATGCTTTGAAATTTAATTTACAAGTATATCTGTATGCCAATGAATAATTAACATGCTGTACATGATTGGTTTTAAACTTTTAATAACTAATTAAATTAATCAAGTTTAATTTAACACGTTTACTCTTGAAGCTAAGCAAAGGTAGGCCTGAGTCAAGCCTTGGATGAACTTAAGCAGTTACAAGATCAGAATTGAAGCGTGCGAATTGAACACCACAAATACAGGTAAGAAACTGGTTTGAAAGCATTGATATGTATGTATGTATGTATGTATGTATGTATGTATGTATGTATGTATGTATGTATGTATGTATGTATGTATGTATGTGCTCGATCTTGCGACTGAGAGGTCTTAATTGTGTGATACATATGTGCCTCGAGCTAAAGGCCAGGTTAATGTTATATTGATATGTATGAGCTATTGTAACAACTTTTTCATAAAAGTTTACTACTCTTTAATTGCTTCTGTGCTTCATATATATGTGATATAGTCACAAGAAGAGTACTTGAATTCAATGTAATTGAAAGATCATGATAGTTAATGGAATTAAACTTGTGCTGTGCCTGCCATTATTCTATGCAAAAGACACATTTTGCAAGATTTGCTTTTGATAATGCTGCTGGTTTATAGTGAGCATGTTGGTTATGAGATTTGTGACTATCAAATACGGGTTAGGGCTACACCCGCAAATTAAGAAAGAGAGTCCACTTCACAAGATTAAAGGGGTTCCATTCCAAAACCATATGGCAATAGGAGGAATAGCTCCTTAACCTTATTAAGTGTTTAACTTTAACTTTCTCTTCTTTTCTCAATGTGAGACACTTACATGTGTTGTTTGGGAAGCTTATACTTCAACAATGACATAAAGGAATGGCTGAATGTATTTGTTGGTTTAGTATTCAAGAGGTCATCTTGATATTAAGTTATCCAAGTTACTCGGTTAATTATCTTGTTGACTTGAATTCTACTCTCACTAATTAAGTATTTATCACTACTCTTTGTTAGTAACGGGTTGTTTACCCGGGTAAACAATTTTTTTTGACTTTTTTAAAAACAAAGTTTTTTTCCCTACAAGACTTGGTGTGAGGAACAAAGTCAACCATTTACTGAATGATGTGTCATTGTGTCCGAACTCCAAAATCAGACCAAAAAATAATTGCGGTACGAGTAGTTGTTACGCCATCATCTTTCTTTCAGCTTTCTTCAACTTCACTCCCTCACTCCATGCGCTTCTCCAACATTCTTTCCTCCAACCTACTCACTAAAACTATATACTTCACACTTTATACTCATTTACCTTCAATTACAACATTATAAGTGAATCCAACAGTTCTTGAGCCCTTGATTTTCAGATTCATAAAGATTGTTTAAGGTCAGTTTTACTCTAAATTTATGCTCAAATTTACTGTATTTAGTATCATTTGTGATTTTAGATCATTGCTTAATTTGTCGAATTAGATACTTTGATAGCTATAAATCAAGATCTTAGATTCTGGGTGTTTGACCAAACCCTTGAAATTAGTACTTTTGCTGCAACTGATAATTAGGGAGACTTTGATATCATGTGAATTTGTGGATTTGAGCAACTGGGTTGTGCAAGATTAGTGGTTAATTGCATTTTCTGAAGTGGGTTTATATCTATTTTGGTTAATTTGTATGAATTGAGTAGTTGATCATGAGGGTTTTGCCAATTTGGACTCTACATGTATTGTTGTTAGTGGTTTTGTTGATTGGGTTTACGAGTTGCAAATTCGATTTGGATTTCGTGGATGCCGAATCTGAGGTGGAAGATGATGATGTTAGAAGAGCCCCCCAATATGATCGGTTAGATGAAGTGAAAAAGGCATGTTCTAAAGTCATAGCATCTGCTACTGAACTGAGAATTGATGACAATGTAATTAGTAAAATTAAGAAAGAGATTTTCTTTGATAATGGAGATTGGGAACAAGAAGGAAATAGTGCACCTTTGTTGCCATTTGATGATAGACCACCGAGAATGTCATCTAGTTATGATTATGATGTATACAACTCTTCTCGTTTGATGCCGCCATATAAGCTTGTATCTTTTAAATTGACTGATGTTAGCGCCCTTAGCGGTGCTCATCGGTCTAAAAAGACCGTAGTTGTCAATGGCTATCTTTATTTGGTGATTACCTCCAGTCTTCCTTTGGCCACTATGAGTGAACAAGTGCTAAAAGGCCCAGAATTTTCCATGTGGAGCCAACATTCTCAGCTTCTTATTAGTCTCCAAGGAGTATATGCTGAATCGAGAAAAAATGGTGGGGAGAGAATGCTGTGTTTGTTGGGTAGCACCATGCTGCCTTCCCGTCAGCCTGATTCTAGTGATTCAGGCTCAAGTGATAATCAGCCATCTCTATTGCAGGATGAGCAAATCCTAATCGTTCTTAACTTTCCAAAGAAAGCTAGTCTAAAGCACAGGGCCATTCAAGGTGAGATGCGGAGTTTGAACTCGAAATCAAGCCCAAAGTACTTTGATAAAGTTAAAATCACATCTCAGATGCAAGCTAATACTCGTGACTATGAATTTAGCTCTGATGAGATTATAGCAAAGGCATGTAATCCATATCCGTACTCAGATACTTCCATAAGTAGCGGCATAGAGCCGTACAAGGGTGCTGACTTTTGTTCAACATTTACAAGAAATTCCATTGATGGGGCTTTTGTAGTTGTGCCTCATTGGCAATGCAATGGCACTGAGGATTTTTGTAGCAAGTTTGGTCCTTTTGCTTCAGATAAACAGATAAACAGTACAGATGGAGGCTTCAAGGATGTGAGAATTCTTGTGCACAACATTATCTGTGCAACTAGAAAAACACGGGATAATGGTCTCATGGCAAGGGTTTCTGCAGTATTTAGAGCCTTTGATGCTCCCAACATTCTGTTCATCGAAAATCAAAGAAGTGGATTGGGAAATATGACGCTTGTTGCTGAGGGGATCTGGAATTCTTCCACTGGACAACTTTGCATGATTGGTTGCCTTGGAGTTGTGGGTGTAGAAGGTGATTACTGCGGTTCTCGAATTTGTTTGTACATACCTCGGTCATTCTCCATTAAACAAAGAAGCATTCTTCTTGGTAGCATATCAAGTATCGAGAAGAGCAATCCCCCTTACTTCCCTTTGTCACTTGAAATGCTTTATCAGAGCTTGGATTACATTTCCGACAGTTACAAATATGCACAGCCATTTTATCACTATTCAAAAATTGATGCTGCAGGAGCTATACTGGAGAAATACGAGCCTTTCAATTTTGGAACTGTCATCAAGAAATCATTGCTGACATTTCCTAAACTCCAGGACTCGGAGGATTATTCTGAAAGTCTCAGACTTCTTGCAGAAGACCTTACACTTCATGTATCAGCTGTCCCTGATCCTATACCTGTTTCTCAGCCTTCAAGAACTGAGATTGAGATGGAGGTGCTTTCTCTTGGTCCCATGTTTGGGCGTAACTGGTTCTCAAATGACTCCACGGCTAGCCTTGAAACTCCTTACCACACAAAGGCTGCATACACTGAGAGGCAGTTGCTTTTGAATGTTTCCACTCAGTTAAAGCTCAGGGGAGGACCTTATAGGAACTTTTCTATGCTGTTTCTGGAGGGAATTTATGATCAACATGTCGGGAGAATGTATTTAATTGGTTGCAGAGATGTCAGGGCCTCATGGAAGGTGTTATATGAGAGCACGGACCTTGAAGGCGGCCTCGATTGTTTGATTGAAGTAGTTATTTCATATCCGCCCACTACAGCTCAATGGCTAGTTACTCCAACAGCTAGCGTTTCCATATCCAGTAAAAGGACAGAGGACGACCCTTTCTACTTTCAGCCAGTCAAGCTTCTCTCTCTTCCTATAATGTACAGAAAGCAGAGAGTAGATATTCTTTCTCGGAGTGGCTTTGAGGGGATTCTCAAGATTTTGACCCTCTCTATTGCCATTGGTTGCATACTGAGCCAACTTATTTATACAAGAGATTCTGCAAGTTCTCTTCCTTACATGTCTCTTGTCATGCTAGGAAGTCAAGTCATTGGATACGCTCTTCCTCTTGTTATTGGTGTACAAGCTCTTTCACGGAACAACAATTTGGAGGATTCTGAAGCTTCTTATGATCTTGAGAGGAGTGAGTGGATCAAGGTAATAGACTATGTTGTGAAGCTTCTTGTGCTGGTGTGTCTTCTACTTACTGTTAGGCTCTGCCAAAAAGTGTGGATTTCTCGTGTCAAGTTACTCTCACAGAATTCTACTGAGACACACCGGATTCCAACTGAAAAACGAGTTCTTGTTATTACTTTGGTCATACACATTGTTGGGTATATAATTGCTTTAATTTCCCATTCCTTGAAGACTGGCCAAACGCCTACTTGGAAAGAGCAATATGTGGACACAACAGGAATCCCTCACACATTGAAGCCTTGGGAAACTCTTTTTCAGGAGTACATAGGTTTGCTTCAAGATCTCTTCCTTCTTCCGCAGTTGATTGGAAACATTTTATGGCAGATAAACTGTAAGCCTCTTCGGAAATCATATTACGTGGGTATCACTGTTGTCAGACTTCTTCCTCACGTGTATGATTTTATTAGAGGTCCAGTATCTAATCCATTTTTCTCAGAGGAATATGAGTTTGTGAACCGAAATTTTGATTTTTACTCTGAGTTTGGGGACATTGCTATACCTGTTTTGGCAATAGGCCTTGCAGTAATAGTGTATATACAGCAACGGTGGAACCAGGAGAAGATCAGAAACACTCTGGCTCTGGGGAAGCATATACTTCCTTCTGGATCAAGAAAGTATGAGAGGCTGCCTACTCAGCCAGTTGAAGCTGAGCTCGTTTCTGGTACCAATAAAAGGAATGCTCAAGAGAGTGAAGAGTGATGTATGTATTATATCAGACAACTCTTAGCTCCCTCATTAACTGAGTTAATTTTGTACTTTCTCCCTTATCTGATACAGTGATTAGTTTTCAATACAAACAATATACACGGATTAAAGTTCTCATTTAGTCTTGTTGTTTTCGGGTTTAGCATAGATTAAGATCGTTAGAATGCTCTGTTTGGAAAATCTTTCTTGTTCAAACTCTTAATTAGGCCTCATTTCTATATTATGTCGTCAAAAAATAATTGGCCATTTTCTAAAATTTAACAAGTTAAACTTTGAATATTTTTCAAGCAATATCTTAAAAGGCTTAAACACCTCCAGTGTTGAGTTACAATTTACAAGTCTTGTAATGAACAGGCAGTGAAACACCCATAAAATGCTGCCAATATTACATGATCAAAATGTTAATATATGATCTTGAAATCATGAATCAAACACTAGCCGGTCGATTCGGAACAACATAATCAACAATAACAAGAGAATCAATAGAATCCCTTACCTTATCTTTCTCATTACCAATATCAGAATTCGTCTCCAAAGAATCCAATTCATGAATCCCACCAAAAACCCCAATTGAGCAAATCTCAAACCCTTTAGCTCTCTCCGGCGAAAAATTCTCACCAACAGTCAATTGTTCAATTCCGCTAAAACTCCCCTTCAATCCGCTAATCACTTGAATAACTTCCCCCTTTTTCCCCTCTTCAACATCTTCTTTAAGCTTAATCAACTGAACTCTAATGGCGGATCCAGGTTTAACCCCAATCGGACCATCGAGATTCTCGGCGACCCAATCGACGGCCATAAGGTCATCACAAATGGGCAAAACGCAGGTTCGAACAGCGGATAGATGATCGGGGTGAGAGGAGTAGTCGGCAAGGTCTTGTTTGGTGCGGTAACGAGAGTGGAGTAAGTGGGTGAAGGAGAGGGAGGAAGAGCGGTTCCGGTGGAGTTTGCCGGCGGAGAGGTGGAGGACCATGGGGAGAGTGGTGAGAGAGTTGAGAGCGGTGAGCATGGTGGAGAGTTGGGTGGTGTTTGCGGTGGGTTTGATGTTGAAGAGGACGATGTGTTCGATGGTGGTGGACATTGTGGCGCGGGTGTAGGAGAGAGAATGGCGGCGGAGGAGAGGGCGGCGCGTGGTGAAGTGGGTGGTGGGTGAGGTGAATTGTGGGGGAGTGGTTGCGCACTGCATTTCGGGTTTTCGATTAGTCAGTGAGTGAGTGAGTGTGACTGCCTGACTGGGAGTTCAGAGCTCTATGGAGTTTTGGATTTATTTTTTTTTTTCCTCCCAAAAAATTGCACATAAAAATGTTAATTCGAATGTTCAGATTGGGTTCAATGAGGTGGGGTCGGGTCCAATTTTAAAATTGAGTCATGTTAAATGTCCACGCGAGTCAAAATTTGAATTCAATATTTTTCGGATTGAATCGAGTCGGATGTGGTTTTAACACTTCTATGCACGAGTAGACTGAGGCGATCAAAATTCGGGCCGGGCCTTAACATAATTCCTCGTGCCCAAACCCGCAAAAAAAGTAGCGGAATTGTCGGACCAAAGCTGGCTTTTTTCGGGTCGAGTTTGGATTTTAAATTAAAAATGCATTTTTAGGCTTGTCTAAACCCGCCCCATATTCAGGCCGGATCGGGTCAGACTAGTAGACCGGGCCAATGTTGATCACCTCTAGAGTAGAGGTATCAAAAACTTAATCAATCTGATTTAAAATCCATCTAAACAAAAACTCAATTCAGGTTTTAACTTGTATCTTATATACAGTAACTAAGAATAACACACCTGAATTTACACCTATAATTACGATGTGGTCAAATTGCCAGTGCAGTGACATGTTGATCTACAATTTACTCAATGAATCAATGATTACTTTTAAAAAAGTAAAAAATTACGAGGTACTCATTGGTTTAAGAACTTAAGATTAAGACTTCAGATAAAGGATTTGTATTGTTGTGTAGTATTCACAAATAATCATAAAAACGTTAAGGCACATTTAATAGACGGTCATTATTGAATTAAGCAGCACTAGACCTCTAGTAGTAGTCAGCCAATATTGGTGGCAGTGGCCGGTGGCTATCATAGCATCATAGGCTCTTAGCTGTTTTGAGTATTACCGTGTTGTTAGCTTGTTGTAGAAATGTTTTTGTTGAGGTAATAACTGAATTCACATTGTAATTTTTTCTTCTTCTAGAACTTTGACTTGCAAAGTGGCAACCTACCATATTTTCTATAACTAGTTGTTGGCGCGCAAATGCGCGTGCCCCCAACACTACGATATGTAATTTGGTTAATGTTAATCGTGTGTGATTATCTTGAATATTCGATATTCGATTTTTTCGGATTGGTTATCCATAATTTTCGGATCAGATACAGATCGGTTTTCGGGTTTTCAAATAGTTTTGCTCAACCATAATTTAGGGGATTAATCGATGCAATTGTATATGAATTGAGCAATAAAAATGTTTTTGATACATGTTTATTACAATCTAATTTATAAGTTTATGATAATTATAAGTTCTATTCACTTAATCGTTATCTTCAAGATTGTTTTTTAATTAACATAAGTAAGTTGTTATTGTATTCAGGGTCGTTTCTGAGATTTCAGAGGCCCATTGGCGACATAATATATTGGGGCCCCAAATTTAATTCTTAGGTTTTGTAATATAGGAAACAATTCTTTTTATTATATGGACAAATAATTTGATTATAGCTTCTTTGAAAAAATTTAACAAAATATCAACTTGCATACAATGTAAAATTAATAAATATATTGTACGATAGCATATAACATTAGTAAACAAATACTACTCCGTACTAATATATAACTTTTTTAAAAATACCTATAAAGGACAATAACAATAACTCTATGTAGTCACTGTAGATACAAATGTCTCATCTACCAAAACAAACAATACTATGATCAATTCTCTCCAACAAATGAAATTGTTCACTGATTTACTCATAATCTATTACACCATTTTTACTATTATAATATAAATTTGGGATGCAACTATATTACGTAAAAACTGAAAAATGGAAAATGATTATGGTTCATTAAGGATGATTAAGTTATTTTATAATATGAATTGAATTACATATTGAATTATGGATTAAGATTTCTTTCAATTGGATAAAAGTTCAAATAGCTAGCTAGATAGTATGATGTTATCTTTTTTTCTTTTTTTTAATAGATGTATCTAATTTCAATGGGCTTTTTTGTAGATTGGGATTTTAATTAAATAATGGAGGGAAAGCATGAACTTCATATCTTTTATAAGATATTGAAAACAAAATATATTAACAAAAATCCTATTATAAGATACTTCATCAAAAACCTGTCAAAAAAAAAATGTTGAAGAAAAATAATTTGAAAAAAGCATTTTATGGGGCTCGAACCCCGATTCCCTCCAAGTATTATCAAATATAACAAACCACCTAGCCACACGCACTACTGTAGAACACATGCTTCCACATTTTTATAATCACTACGTAAGTGGCCTAAAGTACTAACAAGAATGGGGCCTTCTGTCCGTGGGCCTGGGCGGCCGCCCCGGCTGCCCTAGGTCAGATACAAACCTGATTGTATTATTTTACGAAAGAGGTTTTAGGGTTCTGAGTAGTAGATTAAGTTGAATTTAAATCTCGTTATTTAATTAAACATGTATCTCTAAAAGTAATCACTCATCTTCTACAAAAGTGTCTTATTAGTTTCGAACAGTAGAGTAAAATGAAAATGAGTGGAAAAAAAAGAATAATTTAAAAAAGGCGATAAGAAGCAAGTAATAGGGGAACAAGTCCCACCTTTACATTTCTTTATTGTCCTAAAGTGTCCGTCTCTCTTTTCCCTTTTCATTTCCCCTACCTTGTCTTAATTGTTCTTTTTCTATGGATTTGAAAGTTATTGGTCGACTTGCTCTTCTCTCACTCATTCCTTCCTTTATTGGCCCAAACTCTTTCTCCCACTCTCTTTCTTTCCTAATCTTTCTTGTCCTTGTTCTATCCTCTAAGAGGCTGTGAAAAGTATTAAGTTGTACTTGCTCCCTCTCCCCTTAGCCCCACTCCCCCCTACCCTTTTATCTCACCCGACTTCTCTTTATCTCCCTCACTCTTTCAGCCTCCCCCTCTCTCTCTCTTTATCAATTAAGCTATCTCTTACTCGGTCCCTCTCGTTCATTATCACTCTATCTCTTTCTCTCTTTATCGCATTATTTTTCTCTCTTCTAAACCCCCCCCCCCTCTCTCTCTCTCTCTCTCTCTCTCTCTCTCTCTCAATTCTTTTCCAACTCTTCGTTCTCTCTCTTTCTCGCAATTTTGTACACCTAAATTTGTAGGTGCATTATTATGGGTTGTTCGGGTAAGATTTTTCAAATTGTATGATTGTTCAATGTATGTGACTTGGATTCATTTAAATGGAAGAACTATCTCGGGTGCAATTGTATATGCAATAAGTTTGTGCTGGTCAATTAAGTTTGTGCTGGTCAATTGCATATACAATTGCATACAGGTTAAAGGAATCCCCCTCCTTTCTTTATTTCCCTAAACACTCTATTTTTCTCCATCCCCATCTCTTTATTCCTTTTCTCCTTCTTACTCCTTTTAATAGCTTCGTAACCTACAAGTCTCTCTCTCTCTCTCTCTCTCTCTCTCTCTCTCTCTCGCTAACATGCTTAACCGAGTTAATGAACCGATGCTCCAGTCCTTACCTTAAATTGCATACATGGCCTACAAGTTTTTCCTATTCATGGGGTTTTCTGATGCTCCTTACTCTTACCCTAAATCTTCATTTTGTAATTCTGCATTTTTTCAACATCTATTGTCATTCTCTTACAGAGTTTTGTACCAATTTGTCTTCTTAACTCTGTACTTCCATCATCTATCTCCTTCTTTTCCCCTTATCCCTCTTTCTAGATGTCTTCTTCCCACTACTACCTCTTTGCTAACTCATTCTATCACTCTCCTTCTATGGTTCCATTTACTTCACATATAGATGAAAGACGTATCTTTGTTGTGAAACAAATATTATATTAATTACAACTCGAGATTATGAAATCGATTGGTACAATATTCCACGTTAGAAGAAACCTAAAGTTACTATCCTGATAAATAACGTGGTGGTAAATGTTGACTGTCAAATTGAATATGGTGTAATATTTGTAAAATTTCCCTTAAAGACAAGTGGTGTAATAATTTAAAAGAAGTATTTCATAATAATAAATATAATTTCAGCAATTTATAATCTTCAAAATTCCCAAAAAAAAAAAAAAAGTACTGTAATAAATACACGAAACACTTAACAGAACAATATTGTTGACAGGCTCTAGTCATATCACCTAATCAAAAGTAATTCCTAAGTCCTCTAACTAAAATAGATAGGGAAGTAGGGTCGAATCCACCGAGAAACAATGTTCTTTTACTCCTAATTAATTATTATAATCTAAATTATAGAGTAGCCAATTTGTAATGTGTGAATTATACTAATAATTAAACTAAGCAAATTAAACGAGGGAATAATCAATAATAAAAGATCTAGGGTATAGGTTCACCAATAAATAATACTCCAGGGTAAAAATAACAATCAATCATTAATGCATAAATTAACCAGATTATAAAGGGCTTTCACTACGTATTATAATCACAGAATTAATCTACCGATATTAAATCGCATCTCTCGAATCTTGACTTAACCATTTATAGATTAACATGTCTATTGAAACTAAGCCTAAACATCAATTCTCATCTCTCGAATCTCGAATCAATATTGCAAAACTCATACAATTAAACCAGGCCTAATCTAATTGCATAGTATTAAATCAATCAATAGAAAATTAATCAATCATCAATAATCAACAATAATATATTACCCTTTCGTATTATTCATGGATCCCCACAACCCTAAAAATAAATCTAGTCACACATAATTAAATCTAAACTAAACAAGACAATTAAAGGAAACATAATCAAAAGTAATAATTAAAATAAGAAGAATAATAGTATTAAAATAAACTAATGAATCTTAATATGTATGAAAAGAAAACTAAACTAACTTAAAAAGGGAAGGAAACTAATACTACCCCTCGTAACTAGTCTACCACTCCTCCTCTTATAAAGAAAAGGAATCCTATTAAAAGTCCACTAAGAAAAGTAAACCTAGCTTCACTAAAACTAATAATAAACCTGCCAAAATAAATCTAGTAATCAAAGTCCTTAAGCAGCCCAACAATCACGTGCATTCCCACGATGATGATACCAAGATTACAAGATATATTGCTATGATTTTGACAGCCCAGAATGAACCTCACCCAATTAGGCCCGGCAACAATATAAGATATTATTTGGGCTTCTTTCTTTGACTTGAGCTCTTTTAACCCTTCATTTGTTTGATCGGTTGGTCCATATTCCATACACTAGCTTTTAAATCTTAGACTTCTTTACAAGTCGAGCCCTTAATCACCTAATCAAAATTAATTAGCTCGACCTTGGGCTTTAAATATACGGTCATAAAATACGATCCGACTTTAATGTTTTCGTAGTGGCTCAATAAGCTAGGGAAATTAGCATAATTCTACAAATTCCTGTAAAATAATACCAACTCTACAAAAACACTAGAAAACGTATATTAGTAATAAAAATAGCTCGGTAGAGCTCAAATAAGCACAAATATGACCTTGGGATGGGGAATAAAAATATATATAAAATTGACTCATCAATTGTCAAGCATCCTATAGACCTCAGAAACTCAGCTGATTTTTGCATTTGTTCCAGCTCTAATAAGCAAGATAAAATATGTTTTTTTGCCAACTCAAAGCCTTTGCCTTGGGGTTCCTTCAAGCACATAAGAAGGTGGTAGTAATGCTGCAACACACAATGAAAAATGAAGTCTCATTACACTATAGGTTTGATTATTTAATGCAACCATCAAATTGAACAAAAATTTGAGGCAAAATCTTATTATATGCCAAAAAATTCTTAACCAAAAGCTTTACCTTCCCTGAAAATTGCAATTTAGTCACTATGTTAGTGAATTTGTATTGGGTATTACACTTAAAATAAATTTTACACATGCATTAGCACACAGCAACATAAATAGAGGCATGGATTCCGAAGAATATTGCAGAGCTTGATGTATCCGTAAATAAAAAGACATGAAAGATCAAAGGTCATCAATAAGAACGATTGTCCTCTCAATATATGCAGAGAAGGCAAATAACGGAAAACATCCAGGGCCATTGTATTATACTGTATACAAGCTTAAGTGGCAGAGCAAAAAACAAATCCAAAATAGCACAACACTCAAGTCTCTCTTGTCACATTTCTCCTGATGGTCTGATGTAAGATTGGCAATTAGGGGAATTTATAAATGTAGCAAGAGTATATAAGTTAAGACCTTACGAAATCGTAAACGGCACAACAGAGCTCGGCAAAAACCCTCCTCTAAATTTGGATTAGTCTGCAATGGTTCTTGATCTGCATTCCAAGAACCTAAGCATGTCAGCAGTAAACCAAACTACTTATAACGACATTAAACAATTGACATAGGTTGCAGTAAGAGCAGCAAGCATCATGCATAGCTTTTGCCTGAAGACGTTTACAAAGAATAAGCAAGTGAACCTTTTAGCCATTCCGTATTACCAAATTTAAATTATTACTTCAGATGAAATAAAGAATCTAATTTACATTGAGAACCTTTCACAATTAACAGTCACATTCACAGACAAATTGCTTAAACATAAACCAAGTCTATTAAGAATCCAAACAAATCTTAGAAAAAAAATTCAATTAACTAAACAGTTGCACAGCTAAATCTGAAAAAGACATGCAACTTGGAACAAAGGCAGTTAAGCCACAATATGCCTAAACTAAAACCAAAATTTGCACGCATTTGATAGAAAAATAAGCATTAAAATACAAAACCCAAAGCAAATTTAAGGAGTAAGAGATAACCAAGAGAAATCCTTGCTTCTCAGGAGTCCGGTAATATCAACATTGACTGTGGTTTGGACCTAAAGAGGGCAACAACAAAAAATCAATTCAATCCACCATAACAAATTTAAAACAAAAATCTATTTACAACCTGCAAAATTACAAGATACAGAGGATTATGCATTTATATCGGTGGTAGAGTATGGAAAAAGATGACAGTTCAACACTTGACTGTAACTGTGAGGGGGTGAGGCCCGTGAGGATGAGAGTGAGTGTGAGGTTAAATGCAGTTTTTTTTTTTTTTTTTTTTTTTTTTTTTGCACTTTTCAAACAGGAGGTGACAAGAGTAGCCACATGCAAGTTGTGACTCTTAATAGCATATGACTAAATATTCAGACAATAACAAAGAGTTGTAGATAATTAACACTTGTTTTGGACCAATAATATGATGCATTAAAATTAAAAAGCTAATACTTGGACATAGACAAATCTGTACACAGACATCCCTCCCAAATACATACAAACCAACCTAAAAACGATGTATTAAAACACTTTGATACATGTACCTGAGCAGAAATACCCTACCCAAAAAGGGAGGAAGGGTGGGGGGGAAGGGGAGGAAAAGCATACAATAATTCAAAAAGCCCCAACTTTGGCAAGGTATGAGTGAGAAGAAGACAAAGGATGAATGGGAACAATTGCCAATGCAATCAGCACCAGAAAAAACCCCACGAATCCAACAATTTAATAGTCAATTCAGGATAAGCAAATCACTCACTTGCTCTTCAATTTGCCCCAAAAGGTGGATAATCATCTCAAAATCTCCCATTTCTCAAAACGCTACCCAAATTAGCTCATATCTATATAAAGCATATAACATATGACACAAAACATCATAAAATTCACAAAATGAGAGCACCAAATCATGCAAATCAAAGATAAAAAAACTTTCCAAAAAAACAACCATCAGAACTATAATTAAGGGAGACTAATACTAACACTTTCCTTACCACCAGTAAAACTCTGAGCAGCAGAACGACCACCATCAAACTCACTTCCTGAAACGCTGGTAACCATATTCCAATTTAGATCAGCAAAATTCCGAACACCTCTGACACGACAGCAACTCATGGAATTCTGACTTTGTCATCGTCGTTCTAGCAAAACCATCAATTAATAATCAGACACAACCCTTCATTAAAATAAAAATAAAAAACCCCAATACTTATGGATTGTTCGGGTAAGATTCACTATCGATGAATTCATAGATTTCCTAGATTATTGTTGGATTCACTGTCGATGAATTAAAAAAAAAAACCTCGCCGATGAATTCATAGATTTCCTAGATTATTGTTGGATTTTTCAAAGAATTTGGGAATAAATAAGAGACTACATAAGGAATTTGGTACTTTTTTCAGTCATGTAATTTTTTTTTTGGTAAAGTTAGCTTCTCCTAATTAAGAAAATGGAAGAAAAGAGGAGATTAAGCAAACCATGAATTCCATTTTTTAAAGAGTAATGAACTGATGATGCAAGGCGATAAAAGGGTTAGCCTAAAGTTGATTGAAAGTTGTTTTAAAAAAAAAAAACTGATTGAAAGCGAAGAAAACCTAGATATTTAATAATTAAGAAACGCTATAAAAAGAGGAGAAATTTGGCAAGTGTACCTATAATTGTTGGATAGGAGATTGGCGATGTCGTATTTCATCCAATTCTTCTAATTGTTAAGACACCGCCCTTGGATTTCACCGCTGCTACTCCGTTTTTGCGATGTAAGCTATGCCCAAGAATTGTAAAATGGAGGGAGGAGAGAGAAAGAAAATGGAGCAGGAAATGAACGGAGAGGAAATGATCAAAGGAGAGAGTAAGCAGCACCGCCATAAATGAATGATGGAGCAGAAAATGGGGAAAAAACACCGACTAAAGAGGAAATAACAAAAGGGTTGGGGGCAGTAGAGTAATAGCTGTTAGAGCAGTCTTCATAATAGGTTTTGTGAATGATGGGAAATTAGTCCCACATTGGTAGAATAGAAGTTGGTTATATAGGTTAGTCTATATAGCTAAATGTTGATGGAAGTTCCATATTGGTAGAATAGAAGAAGTTAGCTTGTTCAATTCTATTTAACCTGTTGTTGGAAAAGCTCCCACATTGGTTGAATAGAGGATATTAGCTTACTCTATTCTATTTAACTTGATGTTGGGAAAAAATTCCCACATTGGTTAAATAGAAAAGTTTAGCTTGAAACTAGTCTATAAGTTACTCTATTCTATTTAATTTGATGTTGGGATAAAGCTCCTTCATTGGTTAAATGGAAATTTTAACTTGAAGCTAGTTTAATATTTGGAGCATAACAAAATTTTAACGTGTGTAATGGTTTATGACCATGGGCCCGATCGGGTGGGCTTTGCCCGGTCGGACGCGAACATATACTCTGGAAAATAATATTTGCTCGCCTGATAGAGCTAAGTTAGCCCGGTCGGGCGCGAGAGCAAACTTATTTTCTGAAGTATAGATGGCCCGACCGGGCAGGCTTTGCCTGATCGGGCGTGAGCCTAGTTAAAAGATTTGTCCGTTTATTTGCCCGATCGGGCGAGTGTAAGCGGTAAGTTTCCTACGGTTAAATTGATTAGGATAATAGTGACTATTCATTAAAAGTCATATCATCTTAATTAATTATTTTTTGGAAATAGTGACTCTTGGATTAGAAAGGCTGTTCATTATATATTTTAATGGCTCCAAAGTTTTTAACTTACTTTTCACTTTTTATCTTCTTCTTTTTCTATTCTAATAGTTCTCAAAAGTGTTCTTTGGGAGTACATTGCTTTAATTGATTTCGAACTTAGGGAAAATTTTGGAAGCATATTAACCGGTAACTCATAGCAATCATAGTGGGGGTTAAAATTGCTTTAAGGACAGTGTAAACACGTCCCTAATTTTTCATCCCCATAATTATTTTCTAACAATAGCACCAAGATTCACTATTCATAAGTACAGTAGAGTGCATGTTGATGGAAGTTTTAATCTTTATATGAGTTATAGATCTGAGCAGCTGACCATTTGTAAATTGTGTTGACAAATATACCATATCTTTCATAACCTGAGTTAACCATTTGTAAATTGTCTTAACAAACATTGAATGATTAAACCCAATGAGTATAAATAAGTACTTATATGAATCTATTAAATATATATTAAACCAAACATTTTTCTCCTTAAAGAAAATGAATATGATAAGAAGTTTGAAAAAGAAAGACTATGGATAATTAAGCATACATTGATTGATGTGTGATTCTGTTATAAATCAAATTGACCTGACCTGACCTGAACGGATTATAATCCGAAACCCCTTGTTCTGCCTTTTTGGGACCCTATTTCTCCAATTTCTCATCTTTAGAGATATGAACTAAAAGGCCCAAACAAGTAAGACCCTTAAACTCATAGCCCAAACAAACAACTTTTGCAACTTTAATTTACTTCACCATCCCAAATCAATAATCTACAATCCCATATCCAAAACCAACAAAAATAAAGATAACAAAATCCATCCATTCATTCATCCACTCATCAAACTAACAAACCGAAAAAGAAAAAAAAATTAAAAAACAAAAAATACAATGAACACCACTAAATTCCTCCATACCCAACTCTTAAAATCACCATTAACACCCCTTATTCAATTCTCACAACCAAGATCACTCCCAATAGTTCATCTCCCTCCTATTCGCAGCGCGAGCAATGGCCAAAGCAACAACGAACAACCATCAGTTCCTCCATTAACACCGCCGGAAACGGTGGAGATAAAGTTTCGTAGAGGATCAAGAAAGCGGCGACGACAACAAGAGCTTCAAGAATCCGGTGAAGTACCAATGATGAAGGCAGTGGCAGATAAGAAAAAATGGGAAGAAATGAGTTTGTCTGAAAAGGCAATAGAGTTGTATATGGGTGAAAAAGGTTTTCTCTTTTGGGTTAATAAATTTGCTTATGCTTCTATTTTTATTATTATTGGAGGTTGGATTTTGTTTAGGTTTGTTGGTCCTTCTTTGAATCTTTATCAGTTGGATACTCCTCCTCTTTCTCCTGAAGCTGTGCTCAAGGGTTAATTAGAGGTTAATACAAGGATTAATTATGGGTTATAATGATAATTATGCCTATTAATTTTGTTTTTATGTATGTGCTGTTCATCGGTTTTTTAAGGTCAAGAGGCAATAAAATTGAGAGATTATACTTTTACTTCGGATTTTTTCGACATTTTAAGTTTATAATGGACTAACGGTGAAAAAAAATGTTAACACTACATAATTTAATTTATATGGACTCGAGAATCTATTCTATGATTCACTTTTAAGGTCTCACTTTAATTAATTCAAAATTTAGCTCTTAATATCGAATTTGCACAAAGCATAAGTAAAATGATCATCTTTTTGGATACTTTAATGTACTAATTTACTCTCGTGTTTGACCCAATTTGAATTTAAATTCGAGCAAACAAGCCTCAACAAAATTATGTTTGATAATTTATTTTATAGTGTATCAATTAATATACTCTCTACACTTTAGCTTTGTTCAGTATATTGTTTGATTTAACTATGACTCTATAAAAAGGAAGGAAATATAAGCAATTTCTAGATCCTAATTAGCATCCTCTGGGGTGGGGTTTGCGTACACACAAACAACATATAAGAACTTTGAATAATTACTCAAATTTACATAAGAATTTAGTTTTGAAGAGTCAATATAAACCACAAACATTCTAATGCAGGACGAGCATTATATTCACCCTTGAGGACCTTGACCCTTATAATTTTATAAAGCAACAGGTTTATTTTTTAAAAACATAGGCCAACATCAGCTTAAATCTCTTTCATATAGGGTTTCAACATAGCAAAACCATAAGCACACCACTGACCACCTAAACTTACAATTGTTGGTATCTCGGACAAATTCCTTAATATTGTTACATGTTGCTTGGAAAAATAATGTCCTATGTCAAACTCAAATGAACCTTAGCTAAAAACTTTTTTTTTTTTAATTTCAAATACATAAAAGAAAAATAAAAGAATAAGCTTATGCGTGACTAATTTTAGTTCATTATATTAACAAGTTTTATTATATCTAAAAACCAAAAACTAAAATTGACAGTAATACCAAACAAGCCTTCAAGTTCCGATCTTCATATATATATATATATATATTGGGCCTAAATGTATGTCAATTTCTTCATTGATTATCAATTGTTAGTCAAATGACACTTTTTGTATTGATGTGCACCATGAGCACTATTAAAGCGAACGAACGGTCTATTTGCATTGTAAAGTGTTTTCTAGCCAACAAAAATAAATTAGATAAAATTAGGAAGCTGTTTCTGGAAACTGTTACAAAGTAATTACAATGAACTTAGAAAAAAAAAAAAAAAGATAGTCGTTTTCTTCATGAATGATAATGGGAGCCGAGGTATCAAATCACAAACAAAGAAAATCGTTCCGTTCTTACGTTATAACACTTGAAGATGATATCTAGCACCAAAATCACTGAAAGATAACATTAGAAAAAGTTCACAATTCATCATCACTCCACAAAAACACACATCACAAATATGGGTGTGACAATTTTTTCTACGCATGCAATTGAATATTACAACAACCTATAGTAAATCCACTATGTAGAGTAACGGTCCATCAACATTCTTATTAATCTTATAGATATTTCCAACAACGTTAAATTTTATTTTTCCCAAGATTCCATTTTTAATAATGCTTGATAAAATTGGGCAACTAGGAAATGGTCGTCGACCTAAACGTTCTTATGTACTATTATAATTTACTTTTAAATATATGAAATTTAAGGTGATTTGGAATCTAGGATGATATATTAGGTGCCAAATACGGTATAAAATGAAGAAAATTCTCTTAGGTAAACTAATCGAATGTTTGAAGATTATTTATTGTGAGATTGGAAGATGTGAACTCTTTTGTCATCTTATTTATGCTTAGTTCAACAGTTCAATCCACTAGGCTACTATGCTAATTGGATATAGGCCCATTTACAAAATAATTTGTAATATTTTCCTCATCCTACTTTACATTTTTAATTACTTTATTTATAAATTTTTTTTTTTTTTTTTTTTTTTTTTTTTTTTTTTTTTTTAACTCCTTATTCGTTTGGTCACATTTTCATATCTGAAAAAACCATATAAAAGTACATACCTCTAATAATTACGCAAATCAATCTATCTATCTAACTACATTTTTTTAAATATAGAATCCATCTAATTAACTACATCAAACTACTCTTAATTACTCCCTTCCTTTTGTACTCTTTCTTTGAGCCAAAAGATCCGTATCAAGCTCATCATTGACAAATAAAATAAAACATGAGTCAAGAGGAAATACTACCTCCATTTCTTATTATTGCAATAATAGATTTTTTTTTCAAAGTGCAACGATAGAATGTTTATATAACAAATAATATCCATTTATTGCAAATAATGAGAAAGATATCTAGTATCAAAAATGGGTGACGCTCTTTTCTTATAGAACATATCATTTTGTACGTTGACACTAAGACCAAAGTCACACCTTTGACTACTTGACTACTTTGCCAATTTGTTAGTGTATGTAACTATGTATAGAGGGGAATTATGAAAAAAAAATACAATTTGATAAATAACATATGTTTATCAAATGATATAGGTCCTATAATTGACCAATTTACAAAAATGTCATCTTGACTAGGTAAAATTGATGATTTGCTTACAATTTTGCCAAATGGAATAAAATAGGGCTTTTTCAGGATCAATATTAAAATTGTTGGCCAACATCTCGTAACTAGGTTTATATGTAAGCACATAACTTGATCTTAATACTTTATTTTTATAAAATAATACATCTACCTTTGACAACAAGAAGACCGCATAGCGCAGTGGATTAGCGCGTTTGACTTCGGATCAAAAGGTCGTGGGTTCGACTCCCACTGTGGTCGATTGTTTGTTTTCATGATAATTTTTTAAAAAAAAACTATTTTATGTCGGCCACATTATTTGCTACTATAAGATAAAGATTTAAGCTACCCTACGTAGTACGTACCTCCTTCGATTATAAATAAATAACACTCGCCAATTTTATAATTAAATAGTACTCCACTAGTTTTTGGTATACTTTAAACGAAGATAATGCAACGACATATAAAATGGATTATGGATGATGCTAATTGATATAGTTGATCCATGATGATACACTAACCTTTCTATTTATACAAGTATATGTTACATAACTCGATCTTACTATAACAACAAATTAGAACTAGTAGACATATTACTGAGTATTTTACCAAGAAGATGATAAAATATACAATAAAATTTATTACTCAACCTTGTTTGTATGATCACCAGAAGGTCCAGTAACACTAACAAGAATGTCACTGAAACGACGTTGATCGGTGTGCTTGTTTGATGATGACGACGAAGACGATGATGATGCATCTAACAAAGGCCTGACGAGAAGAGGAAGTGAAACACCAATAGTAGCAATGAGGCAAGATGCAGCTATAACCGGCTCTTGTGCCACTAATCCTCTCAACTTCTCCATTATTCTTCCTCCCATTTGCTTATGTAGCATTATAATAATATGTTATTATAATTTATCTATTTTGAAAAATTATGTTATTAAATTTTATATGTACAATTTGTGGTAACTTTTAAGTTGTTTGGAATATATATAGCTAAATAAGGTGCTTTTAATTTGATACACTATATAATTCGTTGAGTTTGATATAGACATATGATGGTAGTAGAACCCTCTAGCTTTAATATAGTCCTATAAGATGGTAGAAGCTTCATGCAACTCCACTTAAAAAATATTTTTAAAAAATAATAAATTAAAAAGTGCATGTGAAAACTTATTTGACGAGAACACAAGTATCTTCACTATTTATTGACGAGCAAGGAGTTTTATCAAATAGACAAATACGAAGTACTTCCTCCTTTTTTTTTTTCTTATTTGCATCACTTTTTTTTTAAGGATGTTTTTTTTTTAAAATGCATCATTTTTATATTTGGTAACTTTGTATTATATTTTATCATTTCTCTCTCTTACTTTAAACCCCACTCAAATTATTTTATTATTTCTCTCTCTTTCATAGTCCCCACTTTAAATAATAAAAATATATATTCTCTCTCACATACTTTCTTTTTCATGGTTCCCATCTTATTTTTACTACAATAAATTATTCACCCACTCACAATATTATATTATTCTCCTAAAACTTTGTGCATTATCAAGTGATCAAATAAAAAAAAAAACGGAGGGAGTAGTACTCCACAATAATAATGAGTAAGACTAAGAGCGAAAAAACAATTAAAACTTTAACATAATTGTTTATCTTAATTTTCTCGAAAACTAAATAATTTACATAATTATTGAAAAAAAAATTTGATAATTAAATATTTGTACTTGCAAATAAAGTGCGTTGGTGTAACTAGTACAGAAATTGAAATTCAGCCTTCATTTTAATGGAGGACTAAATTCTTAGTCATGTAGTCTACAACTCTTACACGAGGAGACATTAATATTAAATTATACTGTAACAAAAGTGATCGATCCGATGTAACTAAACAATCACAAGCTAGGAGATGAGATAACTAATCAAGGGTGCATTTGATATAATTAGATGCATCGCTCCTTCACAATTATCATCAAACACCATCATTTAAAAATAAGAATGACATTGAAATTTCAATTCCATGACAATAACAACGGAAAAAGTTTAGGAGAACTTTTTGAAATCTCGATGATGCATGGGATGACATCATTGAAGGAGAAAAAAAAATTAATAGGGAATGATTGATATCATAATTCGAATTGTTTATTTTCAAATTTTATGAAGAACACTCAACTTTGTGACTATATAGGTAGTGAAGGAAGAAAGAGATTTTGGATTCAAACCACTTAAATAGGTCAATTGATTTGTCAGTCAAAGGTAGGTTTTCGAACCTAGCGAGGCAGCGGAGCTGTTAATTTTTTAAGGTGGCCGTTGTCGTTATCAAAATACTAGTCACAACTGACATTAATGAATGAAGATATATGACATACATTGATCGAAGTAGAACATTAGAAACACACTACGCTACATAATTTGAATGAGGTATTTTATAATTTTGTACTGAACTTGAATGCTGAAACATGTTATACGATGTATGTTATATATTACACATATAATAATATGAGTACAGAGTA